CCCCAACACCATCCCCAGCCCTGTCCACAACTCTGTCCCCAGCACCATCCCCAGCCCTGTCCACAACTCTGTCCCCAACACCATCCCCAGCCCTGTCCACAGCTCTGTCCTCAGCACCATCCCCTGCCCTGTCCACAACCCTGTCCCCAACACCATCCCCAGCCCTGTCCTCAGCACCATCCCCTGCCCTGTCCACAACTCTGTCCCCAACAACATCCCCAGCCCTGTTCCCAGCACCATCCCCAGCCCTGTCCACAACTCTGTCCTCAGCACCATCCCCAGCCCTGTACATATCTCTGTCCCCAGCACCATCCCCAGCCCTGTCCACAGCTCTGTCCTCAGCACCATCCCCAGCCCTGTCCACAGCTCTGTCCTCAGCACCATCCCCAGCCCTGTTCTCAGCACCATCCCCAGCCCTGTTCACAGCTCTGTCCTCAGCACCATCCCCAGCCCTGTTCTCAGCACCATCCCCAGCCCTGTGCACAGCTCTGTCCTCAGCACCATCCCCAGCCCTGTCCTCAGCACCTTCCCCAGCCTTGTCCACAAGTCTGTCCTCAGCACCATCCTCATCTCTGTCCTCAGCACCAGCCCAAGCTGTGCTTCTTGACCCCACTCACCTCTCCTGCCCTCTCTCTTCAGTTTGGCTGGATCCTCATAGTCTGGCACCCAGCTGTATTCCACAGGCATGGAGATGGGCCTTAACCGGCCTGAGGAGGGAACAGAAGCCCAAATGACCAATCAGGTCATGTCACTGTGGAATCACAACACTAATGGGGTGATGGATTCTGCTGAACTATCTCCATCTAGTGAAGCCAGGGGTCAGAGGTCATACCATAGGTGGGCGTGCCATCCCGGTGCCCGGGCGGGGTGCCCCGGCTTTTGTCATACTCATAGCAGTAGAGCATGGCCTCCTCCTCCCCCAGAGGGAAGCGCTTGCGATACTCCTGGTCCAGGAAGGAGTTGGGGGACTCAGAGCCCTTGGCAACTGGGATACCACCATGGTGACGGAACAGGTCATCCCCAGGCAGGTTACCCTGCTCGTCCCTGGGACGAGACACAGCAGGGTGTCATGGGTGGGGGGGCGGGGAGCACGAGGAATGAGGGGCAGGTGGTGGGAAATGCATAAGGTACAAGAAGCATATTGTTGGAGGGTAGGAAAGGCATGTGTCAGAGGGGTGTGGTGTGGGAGGGGCTTATGGTGGGAAGGGCATGGGATAGGAGGGCCATAGAGTGGGAGGTGCATGGGGTGGGAGAGGCACAACCTAGAGGTAAACAAACCATTTAGTTGCCAAGGCACTACCTGGGTATGTAGGGTTCTGCTGGCGGAGGGGGAATGAACAGGTCTTGCAGGGCAGAGTCTCGCTTGGAAGGGGTGCTGATGGTGCTGGAGGGTGTGGCAACGCTGCTGGTGGGACTCTTGGGAATAATAGGCTGAAGGTAGAGGCAAACATAAGCAGTTGAATGAAGCACAGCAGATGACAGAATAGGAGCCCTGACAGAAACTTAGAGCAGCTGATACAGACGTAAGCAGTCGAGTGAAGCACAGGTGATGACAGGATGGGAGCGCTGACAGAAACCCAGAGCAGCTGAGACAGGCAGACTCAGTCGAGTGACACACAGCTGATGACAGAATGAGGGCACCAAGAGAAATCGAGAGCAGATAAGACAGGCATAAGCAGTTGAGTGAAGCATAGTGGATGACAGGGTTGTAGCATTGACAAAAACCCTGAGCAGTTGAAACATACATAAACAGCCAAGTAAAGCACAGTGAATGACAGCACCAACAGAAACATTCCAGAGATGCTTAAATCAGATGGTCACTTATACATATTATGGCTCCCATGATTAATTAATCAAGCAACAAAATATTAATATAGTGTGTTTTCACTTTCTAAATGACAAAGTAGCAAAGCATTGTGCTGTGTGAGAGACACTTTAAAAGATTCCTACAGAGAAGGTAATAACCCATTCAGATTATTACCCCTCCACTCAGCTGAATGAAGAACATCCATACGATGGGTTATGCACGCTGACTGTGGATACAAAGCATAGAGGATGGAGATTATAGATCAGACAGTCAAGAAACGTCCCTTTTGGTCTTTTAAAGCTGGACCAGGGTCTTGTAGAGAGACAGGCGGCACAGGCATTGACTGCCTTGTGTGCTTAGGTGGGTTCTGAGTAATCTACAGCTAAGTTAAGAGGATAAAGGGCACTAAGGATCTGTGTGATCATACTGCCTCCTCTGTCCTCCAAACTGCTGACAGCACAACCACCCACAATAGAAGAGAAAGCCTTTCTTGTTGTTGAGCAGCGAACAAGTACAAGGAAATGCACTCTTCATATATCCCATCATGCTCTCTGATTACACACACAGACACACACAGGTGAGAGCAAAGTTTGGAGTCACAGTGCAGGGTCAGCCATTTATTCAGCGCTCCTGGAGCAGTATTTGGGGTCTTACTTTCAGGCCCAAGTGTGGTATGATCTCTCTGCCAGCTACAGGATTCAAACTGGTAACCTACCGAATAAAGAAGCCTAAACCACAGAGCCACACACAGCCCCAGTATACCCATAATGCACCAATGCACCCATGAGACCTTGATGGCTTGGCTGGGTCCTTCGTCTGTCACTCATTGCCAGGCCTGTAGGGGGCTCCACTTTGGCAGGCCCAGTCACACACAGAGCCCTCACAATCTAGAAGCGATTTCATGGAAATGAAGGCATTTGGAAGTCAACAGCCCAGACTCATGCCTCACTGTGGGTCCAGCAAATTAGACCTCGAAATGCCAGCCCCCTCTATGACAGAAGAATGACATCATACCGAAAAGCCAGCCCCTCCACGACGGAGGAATGACATCACACTGAAAAGCCAGCCCCCTCCACTACACAGGAATGACATCACACCAAAAAGCCAGTCCCCTCCACAATGGAGGAATGACATCATACCAAAAAGTCAGCGCCCTCCATAACAAAGGAATGACATCACACTGAAAAGCCAAGTAGGACTAAGTCCTACCCACACTGACTCACAGGAGAGGACAGTCCTATGCACACTGACTCAACTCTCAGAGTAACAGACAGGCTGCTTGTATAGGGGACTTAAATCTGAACACACTGACTCACTGGAGAGAGATTAGTCAAGTTCATAATGACTCACTCTGCATTTCTGAACACAACGACTCACTTAGAATTGAGTCATATACAGTGACCCATCTCGTACAGACTCACTCACAAGAGAGGAGTTCAAAATCCATTAATTTAAGTCAGAGGTCTTAAATGTAAGTCATACACACAGTGATTCACCAAGGACAGGGCAGTCATAGTTGCAGTGACTCACCCAGGCCTGGGGAGTCAAAGATGCAGTGACTCACCCAGGACATGGGAGTCATCGGTGCAGTGACTCACCTAGAACAGGGGAGTCATACAGGCAGTGACTCACGCAGGACAGGGGAGTCATACACGTAGTGACTCACCTAGGATAGAGGAGCCATACAGACAATGACTCACCCAAGACAGGGGAGTCACATACGCAGAGCCTATGAAGAATGGAGTCTCACAGAAAATGGCTCTCATTCGTTAACAGACTCCTAGCAAAACTGGGCAGCGAGGCAGGAGTCAGCGTGGGCTGGGCCCCAAGTGAGCAAGCAAGTCGCAGCAGTAAGGGTATGGCCTGTGACGTGGCTTGTGGGGTGAGCGACTGCACTTGCCTACCTGCAGGGCCAGCGGCTTCCATCGCATGTTCTTTAGCAAGGCGGGAGCTGCACCCAGAGTGCTCTGGGGCCGCTTTTTCAGAGTCAGCAACACACCGCTGGGATCCGCACGCAGAGAGCTCACCAAGTTCCTCAACTGCCAGCCCACCTACAGCAACCAACAGGCACAGAGTCAACACACACACAGAAAGCCCACCTATGCAACTGACAGGCACAGGGTCACACAAACAGAAAGCCCACCTATGCAACTGACAGGCACAGGGTCACACACGGAAAGCCCACCTATGCAACTGACAGGCACAGGGTCACACACATGGAAAGCCCACCTATGCAAATGACAGGCACAGGGTCACACACACACGGAAAGCCCACCTATGCAACTGACAGGCACAGGGTCACACACATGGAAAGCCCACCTATGCAACTCACAGGCACAGGGTCACACACACACAGAAAGCCCAGCTATGCAAATGACTAGCACAGGGTCACACACACATGGAAAGCCCACCTATGCAAATGACAGGCACAGGGTCACACACACAGAAAGCCCACCTATGCAACGGATAGGCACAGGGTCACACACACACAGAAAGCCCACCTATGCAACTGACAGGCACAGGGTCACACACGGAATGCCCACCTATGCAACTGACAGGCACAGGGTCACACACGGAATGTCCACCTATGCAACTGACAGGTACAGGGTCACACACGGAATGCCCACCTATGCAACTGACAGGCACAGGGTCACACACACACGGAAAACCAACCTACAGCAATTGACAGGCACAAGTTACACGTGGAAAGCCCATCTATGCAACTGACAGATAGACAGACAGACAGACAGACACACACACACACATGGCTGCAGTACATTCACATACAGTACTGTGCAAAAGTCTTAGGCAGACAAAGAAAATGATGTTTAAATTATCCTTGTGTTGGGGTAAAACTATGATTATTCCTGTCAAACTCTGTCAGCGTAGCCATTTCAGAGCCTCTGCTAAAATCACCCCAGTATTTGCAGCAACCATCCAGTGCAGCCATGTATTTTTTGACTTGGCCACTAGCACACCTCATACAGCTACTCAATCTGTCACTGACTTTTTAAACCAATTTATTTAATTATTTAATTGAGCTGTTGGTGAAATTTAACAAAATCATGGAACGGCTGAGGTGCCCCTGAGGAGAGGTATGGAAACTGAAGTGATCCAACTAGATATCAGGAACTTTTTAGAAAACAGAAGAAATTATTACTAGTTTTTATTGTGTTACTCTTAATTTGCATATGTTCTAATGTTAAATTGTGTTTTTTGTTCTAAGCCAAAGTACACTTGCTACCCAGATAAACAGGTTTAAACATTTCTTTGGACTGCCAAAGACTTTTGCACAGTACTGTACATACACACTCACAAACAGACTGAGATGGGCTGGATTTTGGGTGGCACTTTTGGGTGGCATTTGCGTGTGAGCGTCTGAGTGTGCACGTCAGTAGGGGGCGGGGATACTGGGGGTCTGTCCCCGCCCTCTAATTTAAGCCTTTTAATTACTAACTAATCAATTAAAAAGAGCAGGTATGAAAGTAGCAGTTTGTCCTGTTTCTAGGGGGCGCCCACACTTTTGGAAACCTTTTCACAGACCAAACCATCTCTGGCACTAGGCCCCATCACACTGCTCTGTAGAAGACGCCAGTAACAAACTGAGACAGCTCAAGTCCTGGTCACCAATGCGTTACGCTGAGCCATATGGAAACAATCGCAACAGCCCCGACTGCGATGAGACTCACGCTCAGGTTCCCATACAGCACTGACCAGGATAGACGGCACAGAACAGCAGCAAGGCAACCCAGTCCAGGAGGCCCGCAGTTGACATGGCCCAGTAACACCTGCCCCAGTGGCACAGTCCAGTGACAAACACTCTTAGTTTGACACTAAGCATAACTCAGCATGGCCTCCCCAGCTGGAGACGTACTCTCACGAGAACAACAAGAGATTCACACAGCTTCACACACACGGCCTGTACTGCCCACCGCTGACTGCAGGGGGCACCAGGATAGCCCGCAGAGACAGGAGCAGTGGCAGCAATGCAGAAACGGCGCGGCAGCTGATGTACGCACCACAGTCTGCTGGTTCACCTGAATGACCTCATCGCCCGCATGGATCTTCTTGCAGCGATCAGCAGGAGACTGGAGAGACACCAGGATGGGGGGCTTTAGGAGGGCCAGGGGCACATGGGGGGGTGGGGACATACTCTGTATCACACGTCATCTACACACACACAATCTACATATACTAGCTAAACACGCAATATACATAACCTACGATACAATACATCTACAGACACACATCTGCATAATTTACAGTAAAGTAGCATCCACACAATCCACTACCATCTACACAATCCACAATACATCAACAGACACACACCATCCACACCAACACCATCTACATATTTTACAGTACAGGACATCTGCTGACACACACATCTACATAACATACAGTAAAGTACATCTACACACACAATCTACAGTTATATAACTTACAGTATATCACATCAACAGACACAGCTACATAACTGACAGTAAAGCATATCTAAATAATAATTAAGCCAGGATGGCTGGCACTGTGTTCAGGCCACAGTCTCCCCTGGAGGTGTGGGTTTGAATCCCACTTCTGACAACAAAGCTTTGGGGCAATGTGTGGCTCAGTGGGCTAAGCCTGTGGGCCTGTAATCACAATGTCACTGGTTCAAACCCAGCCTCGATACATCTGTGGGTCCTTGAGCAAGGCCCTTAACCCCCAGTTCCCTGGGCTGCCCTTTGTGGACAGCTTGGTCTACAAAGAGCAAGTTGTGAGAGGTGTACAAAGAATTTTCCCAAGGGGACAATAAAGGATCAATAAACTACAATGCATCTGTGAACACATACACACCTTACAGTAAAGTACATCTACAGACACCATCTACACATATACAATACAATACAGCTACATAGCTGACAGACAGATACAAAGACAGACATACAGCTCTTACCCCTTCAGTCGTCCCTGTGATGACATGGAGGCCATCATATGTAGATTTTATATACATGCCCTGTGAGAGAGAGTGACAGTATTAGCAAAGGTCCATAGTTAAAGCACGCGCACACACACACAGACTGAATCCAGCACCTTAATCGACTCCATCACTGGCTTTACAAGTCACTGCAAACATCAGTGATCCACTGCTCTCTCACCCCCAATTGCCTTGACACCAGTACATACCATGCATCCCAACATGCACTGCTCCTGCTCCTTGGTCTTACCAGTCCGTCTGTGGGCTTGATGTTGGACAACTGGACCACCTCCAGGTGGGCGGACTGAGAGACCACAGGGTCAGAGGACAGGGATATGATGTGGTCGCAGACCCCGGACAGCGTCTTACACTAAGGAGACACACACATCAGCCCTTAAACAGCATAACCACATCTCAGCAGAGCGCGCCTAGACCACCATGACAGCATCAGTACACAGGATCCTGACAATACGATGAACATGCCCTGTAGCACTGCAGGAAGACGCCAACACACAGCATCCTATCTGGGTGCTGTTGTACATTCATGACCCCCCCCCCAACCCCCACCCCACCAGCTCTCAGGCGTCACCATCACCTCAAAGTTTAGCCTAGTATTGACCCTCTACACCAATGTACTGATCTGGACCCTTTGATGCAATTAGCTATCATGCCATCTGGTGGCCAGTCACTGTCACCGCCCTACTCTGCTGACCTTTACAACAAGGGGTCCATTACAGGCGTGGGGGTCCTGGAGCAGGGGGTAGGCTGAGAGTGATAAGTAAGGTCTGAGAGAGCAGTGGTCAGGAGCACCACCCAGAGCAAACAGTGTGCTTTAATCACTGCTGCCGACGGTGCGGCCAGTGAGGTGTAACCCGGAAGGAGCAGGCGTCAGCCTCCTGCCGCCAACCTCCAGCCGCCAGCTGGATGCAGGGCATGAGGGTGCCAGGAACACAGCCCAAGCAAGAGCCTGAGAGCAACTGAGAGCTGAGCGGTGAGGCACAAAGAGCAAGCGGCCTGGCAGAGAGAGTCTCTGTGCAGATGGATCACTGATCTCCAGCAGGCTGCTTGCCAAGACTGGGAAAGGCTGAATTGGAGCCACTACAACCAGCAAGGTGGTTTCAGAGGCCAGACAATCCCATCCTAATGCTGGTCCTGCTTCTTCTTCCCCCTGTGTAATGCCAGTCTTTCCTCTTCCTCCCCCTGTGTAACACCAGTCCTACCTCTTCCTCCCCCTGTGTAAAGCCAGTCATGTCTCTTCCTGCCACTGTGTAACGCTGGTCCTGCCTCTTCCTCCCCCTGTGTACAGTAAATCTGGTCTTGTCTCTTCCTGCCCCTGTGTAGCACCTGACCTGCCTCTTCCTCCCCCTGTGTAATGGTAGGGAGTCCTCCAGCACAGGGTGACATGGATGGTGGTCTCTATGACATCAGCTGGCTGCGGGGACACCGAAAGCAGCCCCTGTTTCCCAGGAAGACTTTGACCTCATTTACTGGAACAGGCTGCTTGGTTGTTTTTGTGGAGGCAGGAGGGTCCACTCCAAGCAGAGTGTATCCCCCATTTCCACTTTGAAATACTTACCACATGCAGGATTTTGTTCTCTGTTTCATACACAGTACAATCCTAAAAACAGAGAGAGAAGGAGAGAGAGAGGGTGAGAAAGGCCAGTCAACAGCTGCTCTGCTTGAAAAAGGATCACAGAGCAACGGCATCCTCTGCATACGTAACAATTATATTACTGATCATTGCTCAGTGAATTCACCTGCAGGAAGCAGAGTCTCTGAGATAGACAAAGTGACACTTGGAACCGGCACATGCCCACCGCAAGCAGTCAGGGATCATGCCCACGGGAAAAACACCATCACCATCTAGCCACCATCAGCCACCATCCTGCTGTTGTCACGGTTACATGCTATGTGTGCAGTGCTGAAGCCCCATTCCAAATCCGGTCCAAACCCAAATACAGACAGATAAGACGTCCAAATACCCCAAACCCGACATAACAATAATTACGTGGTATCATTTGGGAAAAGGTGCCATCATTATCTGTTATCACTTCATAACTCCGGGCTGACAAATGACAGATTACTCTGGCAGATGCTGGTGCCACATCTGGACCAGCCAAAGCCCAGGCAGCACCACATTGCCAGACTGCACTGCATCATCAGGTTGTGCCGCATCGTCAGGATATGCTAGATCGTCAGACTGCACCACATCACCAAGCTGTGCAGTATCACTATGCAGTACTACATCCCCATGCAGCACCACATCACTATGCAGTATCACATCACCAACTTATGCCTCATCACCATGCAGAGCTGCATCACTAGGCTGTGCCACATAACTAGGTCGCACTACATCACCACACCGTGTCATTTCACCAGTCTGTGCCACATCACTATGCAGCACCGCATCACCACCCTGCACCACATCACCAAGCTCCACCACATCACTATGCAGTGCCGTATCACCACCCTGCACCACATCACCATGCAGGGCCACATCACCAGGCTATACCATATCACCATTCAGTGGCCATCAGGACTCATCACACTGGCTGCATTCCCTGGGTACTCAGGATTGGCTGCTCATTTTAACAACTGCATCATGACAGTTCTTTGCTTTGGTCCTTCATTGCCCTTTTGCTCATTGTGGCTTGGACATGGAGTCCATCATGAGGACCATCATCATCATCACACCCTGTAGCTCATCTCCACTGCTGTTGATCCCCAGAGTTGGACTGGTAAAACCAGATCCCAGAGACAGCCCGTGACTGCACTTATGGTCAGTGGCAGCTTCCGAATAGCACGGATGGTCAAAGACAATCCCGACTGCACTGACAGTCAGAGACAGCCCCTGACATTACTGATGGTCAGAGACGGTGTCTAACCACACTGAAATTCAGTGACAGCCCCGACCACATTCACGAATAGAGACAGTCCTGACCACACTGAGGGTCAGAGACAGGCTCCCGACAGCACTGATGGTCAGTGATAGCTCCTGACCACACTAATGGTCAGAGACGGCTCCCAACTATACTCATGGACTGAGACAGCTCCTAGCTATACTATGGGTAATTGAAGCTCGATCGGTCAGCTCCTCTGCACGACAAACCCCCACGACACCCCCCAGGAGGAACACAGCCCCATGTAGTGACGCAGTGACCCATTTCGGGGCTCGTGTAACGTCCTGTAACGTTTGCTGCTCTATAAAAGACCAGCAGGAGGAGTAGGATTCCCCACAGGCTCCATTCAGATCACACAGCTCCCTGGCCTGGAAACACACATTTCAGCCTCACTGATGACGATGATGGTGAGCATGGTGATGGTGATGACGATGGTGATGGTGAGCATGGTGATGGTGATGATGATGGTGGTGAGGATGGTGATTACGATGATGAAGGTGAAGATGATAAAAATGTGGTTGGTGGTGATGATGATGAGGATTGTGATGGCAAAGATTATGGTGCTGATGATGATAATGAAGATGATGGTGAGGATGGTGATGATGATGATGGTGAGGATAATTATGATGATGGTGATGAGGTGGATGGTGAGGATGATGGTGGTGGTGATCATGATAATAATGATGATGGTGACGATGATGATGAGGATGGTTATGACTGTGATTGTGGTGCTGATGATGAGAATGATGATAATGTTGAGGATGATATTGTATTCCCTGGTATATACAGTAAGTGTGAATGTGCTAATCTATGGTTATATTTGCTGTTGTGTGACTCCATTTGAAAGCAGTTCCTCAGGTCACACCAGCATTAAGGTTAGGTTAGGGTTTGAGTTAGGGTTAAGCGAATGTGATCGTGATGCATGTTTGAAAGGTTACCTGTTGCACGATGGTGGTGAGCTCCAGGCACAGTTGGATGACACTGTTCCGGGTCACTGAGTAATCTGTTACTGCAGCAAAGGGAGATCTGAAAAACAGGTAGCATCTGAGATAAACCATTAGGTCATTCTTTACTCTGACCACTCCCGATAAACAGTGGGAGCTCTGTCTACCATAAGTGACAGGAGTATCTTCCAATAGAAAACCAACACCCTGCCCCTCTTGTTTAAACAGGATGTGACTGGAACATTTGTTGGACATGGCCACAGCACTTTATGTAACCATCTTATTAAACCTGCAGGCAGGGGTTATTCTCACATTCAAGCTTTTTCCACTCACATGCTGAGCTGGAGCCTTCTTATAAAAACTGGCTTGCAGGTATTTTTCCACTAACTGTGTATGCAGGCTCCATGGGAAGGGGGGAGGCAGCCGTGCTGGGGCCCAGTGTATGTTACAAAAGTATTGCAGCTTATAACCAGTAACAGCAAATGTGGCAGACAGAGAGACAAAATCAGAGAGACAGACAGAGGACAGGCAGGCAGACAGACAAGCAGACAAACAGACACACAGGCAGACAGACAGGCAGACAGACAAGCAGACAAACAGAGTCAGACAAACAGACACACAGGAAGTCAGACAGAGCGACAAACGTAACTGGGTAAATTAAGCATGGCAGACAAACCAGAAAATGACACTGCAACAAAAATCTTAACACGAGCCATAAGGAAACATCTAATGAGGTAGAACACCAAAGAAAATAAATGAATAAACTGGAAAGAAACTAAACAAACCACAGGTTCACATAAAGTCCTTGCAGTCGGGACATGATTCATTTATGTGAAAGGAGCAGAATTTGGCACACAGACAGGGCAGTAGAGCGCACCAAACACACATGGTTGCCCGGGGGTGGGGCAGGAAGGGGACCAAATCCGGAGGCAGGGTGCCAAGCACATTCACAGCACATGGCAAGGCCATTGGACAGGGAGACCACACCCACCCCATCACAAGCGACTCCAGGAACAGTGAAATGTAGACAGGGCAGACGGTCACAGGAAAGGCAGACAAACAGACGCGTTTATGTAAGCTTTACTCTTACTCATCTTCCGTTTGCTGCGCGACTGCTTAGGAGGATTATGTAAGAGAGCCAACATACTCGCCTCGGTGCAGCCTGGCGCACAATCTGCACACAGCTCCCTACTGTCTCACAGGGGGATTATGGGTAATCCATGGGAAAACTAACCTGCCATATTGTCTGTTTGAGTTGGAAGAAGACTGGGAAAGGCTGTAGATTGAGATTAAGTCAGGAAAAAAAAGTCTCTTGCTGAAGAAGTACCATGACTTCGCTCATCTCAAACTCTCAACACTAGCTGCCATTCTGCTCATTGACTGGAAGGAAGGTTCTGCTTCACCACTTGTCCACCAAAACAGACCTGAGGTTCCAGCACCTCAACTGAGGTCTTGGCCAGATGAACATCAATCTGCAGAAACCGTGGGCTTCAGGAGCAGCATGAGAATCTGGGGCCTACAGCCTGATGGCCCTAAAGCCGATTGTGGCTCACCTGTCCCCCCCCCACACCTGTTAGAGCCCCCCCCCCCCCCCAACAGCCCATTAAAATTAAGCAATTAACTCTCCAAAATCATTATAATCCTATGAAAGAAGCCCAAACCTAATTGGGGTTAATCCAGGGGTTGCCAAGTCATGACACACACGGGTGTGTGTGTAAAGTGCATAGGGGATGGGGGCTCATGCTAATGATAACCCTGTTCACAGGCTCTGAATGCATTGAGGGGGCACTGACCTAGATTCTGCTCAGCATAGGGACAGAGTCATACTGGAAATGTGTCACTGTGTTACTCAGATGCTGGGAAGATGGTGCAACTGTGTCTCTCAGCAGCGCCATACCACCATGCTGCTGTGCTATCGCGTCCGCCACACCAACCTGTCCAGCCAGGCCAGCAGGCTCTTGGCAGCGCCAATGAGGTCCACCACAGACGTCAGGAAGTCGTTGGGCAGCTTTCGTGCGCTGCGCCCATCATAGTGCCCGCTGCGCCGCCGGCCCGTGATAAAGTTCTGCAGGTTCTTGGCTGAGGCATTCAGCTTGTGGGACAGTGTCTTCAGGTTCTCTGTCTCCAGCCCGTAGTTCTGGGGTGCATTGGGAGGGGCACATGCTGAGAGTATGGCGCACATGCAACCATCCCACCTTCAAGATGCCACAACAACATTGGCCCCCCTGGGAACCTCTGTCCGATTGACCGCCTGTTACCAACAGACTAGCTGTGATGACCCAGCGGGACCAGCACCTTTTGATTGGGCCCTCGAGCTGTGGGGGAGGCGTATGCATATCCCCGAGGACGGGGAGCACAGCTGAAAGGAGGTTAGGAAAGCCGACTGACAGTTTTCCTAATCTTCTCACCGAGGGCATACAGCACTGTGGGAGCAATACCAGGCCAAGCCAGAGGGACAAGCTCCAGAAGAGAGGGAAGGCAGAGGAGGAAAGGGCAGCAGAGGGAGCAAAAAACAGACAGAGACAGAGGGAGAGGCCAGGAGTCCCCGGGCTTTTAATGATGAGGAAATTATCTCCCTTCCCTGCTTGGATGAACTGGCCCAGCAGCAGTGCAGAGGTAATAGGAACAGAGAGATCTGGAAACAGGCAGGAGCCATAGCGGCACCGGAAAGCCAATATCAATTATGCACATTTAGTATTATAATAATAACTCAGAATAGGCTATAATAAGCTGTTAATAACCTGAAGCAATAAGTGAGCTGGGTATTTGAAGCCATGAAAATAACAGTCAAAAAATAAAATGTAAGAACACTGAAAGAAATCGGCTAGCCAGTCGAGGAGATGGTTGGACCTGTTTTCAAGAGGATGGTTAGGCCACGGGGCAAAGAACCAATTGGAACACAGGACATGAAAAGCGTCGCCTCCTGTATCCTGAAGGACTCATTCGAGTAACATTCAACCGTTCATTATGACCAGAATTGGCTAAAAAAGGAGGACCAGAAGTAGGACCTCAGCCAGCTACCCTGAACCGAGTAGGGAAGGTATGTAATGTGTGCAGTGGTGCGTTATCAATATTAGTTTAGGTGTACATAAGTGATTCAGACTCTGTCTGTGTGTACAGGCATGTTTCCTGTATTGAGAAGTATAAGGCTAGATGACAGACCCCTCCAATGATAGTTATCCACTATCAGCTCTAATTGTAGTAGTCAAATTCCGGCAGAAATATTAACCCTTTTTCAAACCAGATATTGTGACACCATCTCTGAGTACAAGCTGTCTTTTATGCTGGTTATTTTGTAAAAAATACAAGGTGAGGAACTCCCCCACATCATGACAAGAGGGTAAGAGTGTGAGTCAGACACCTCCTTCATCCAGATGATGTCATGTGCAGGTTTTCAGGGGCACTGAAAGTACAGGGATCACCATCAGCACTCAGCTCATCTTGCTTAAGATGGATGTCATTTGAATGCACAGTCCCATTTCAGCAGGCTCTGTACTGCACGCATCAACACAGCTGTGGTTGTCATGGCGATCCATAGGTCTGTGAGCATTTGGAACATTAGGTAAGCTTCGGGGTTTAACCGTGGATACAAACATTCGTTCACTCACTCATCCTACACTGATCCTTTCAGTGGAAAACGCATCTCAATAGCAATTCAGCTTTGGGAATAGAGGCATATAGGAGTAATACTCCTGGACCATTAAGGCATGCAAAAAGTGGATATCAACACAAGATATCAAGTCTATGCAGCCTTTTTGAAATCCTTCTTCAATTTCAATAAGACCAACAAGATTTCAGTGAAAAAACTGATAATTTTTAGGAAAAAAAGAATGAAATGAAGCACTGGTTCTGCTAATGTTTGTGCACCTTTAACCTTAATTTCACTGTAATCTATTAGCATGGTTCTGCTGCTTTTCCCAGTGTTGGGAGGCGATCTCTGAAACTGAAACCAAAGAAGTGGGTTTAATAATGGAAAAAAGATATATAGGGCTTCATATTATAGTTTAAAATGGAGTTCTAATCAATGCAAAGACAGAGGAAGGACCTTACCAGTGCACATAGTAGGTCCACAGCCTCCAGGATGAGCTCCTGATGGCCAATCCGTGACACACCCAAGTCCTCCAATTCCTGGTGCGTGATACGTAACAACTGGTCTCCACCCACTTGCTCCCGTTCAAAGTTCTTAATGTACTGCTGCAGGCAGTCGTCCAGGCCTGGGGCAGAGAAATCCCACATGAGTACACCAACCCAGGGTAAAGTAAAGAGAATCCCTGCATTGGTTCACCAACCCAGGTCAGAGTACAGAGAGACCCAGCATCAGTACACCAACCAAGGTCATAGTACTGAGAGACCCAGCATTGGTACACCAACCAAGTTCAGAGTACAGAGAGACCCTGCATCAGTACACCAACCCAGGTCAGAGGACAGAGAGACCCGGCATCAGTACACCAACCCAGGTCAGAGGACAGAGAGACCCGGCATCAGTACACCAACCCAGGTCAGAGTACAGAGAGATCCCGCATTGGTACACCAATCCAGGTCAGAGTACAGCGAGTGCACAAAGCCAGCTTCCATTTGAAGAAGGACATGGCTAGGTGAGGAGGTGAAGAAGATAAAGAAGAAATGCCAGTCCCCAGCAACCAGCAGCCAGGACACAGTCTTGTTTGGATTCCTCCATTCCAGCTACCATAGGATAAACTGCATTGGTTTTATACATCAAATGCTGGAATATCAATAAAAGGCCTGGGCGTCAGCCTGTCATCAGTCACTGGCTTACATCAGCACTGAGGGTATGAGGAGAAAAAAGATGCTCTGTATCACACACCACTGAAACAGAGACAGAGGTGTGTGTGCAGGTGTGTGACCTCCCCCCCGGCACATCCACCCTCGGCTTCACCGCAGTCACTGACCGTGGCTCTGAGCCTCTATGGCACTCGCAACAGGGACTCCCTCAGAAGCTGCATTTTGTAAGTTCAACAGTGAGGAATAAATGAATAAATACATAAGTTAAGAGCCCCCCCCTACAAGCCTGACAACCACACATTCACACTCTACTCTCTCCTCTTCAGTATAGCTGCAAACAGAAACTCAGCCCAAGTTAATCACATCACAACAGATTTTATTTACTTTTTTGGGTGCCACGTTGATACCAAAATGAAGCTCTTCAAATACATTGTGAATCTGGAGGAATCTGGCAGTATGAGATGCAGCCCCTGGCTACTGTCACACCGCTGGACTAAATGTACATTCACAATGAAAGCAAATGCCATCAAGCCAACGACACATCAGTGGTTAGACTCACCAACTGAATTAATCTGCATCCGTGCGCATGGATGCCGGCAGAATAGTAACATCACTCATGATAAGAGTGCTAATTGGCTGCTAATCACTGGTACAACAGCCAGAGTGTTTGGTTTGGGAACCAGCACTGTGCAGCTAACCCAGAAAGGTCCTTTAGGGTGCCCCTCTGTGTCATTCATCAGCAGCAGAGACAGAAACAGGCCAGCTAACATTTCATGCAAAAATCTTAGCCACACATAGTCTCACACTTGCAGAGATACTTAGCATATGTCACAAATTCACCCCCAGTCATGCTCTCACATTTTCCGGGGTGACAGATGACAAGACACACCATTAATAAACACTTGTTGCTACTTCCTAAGGCTTCCTAGCCGCCAGGGCATGATGCTACCTTTCCCCTGGCCCCGGTTTCTTGGGATGTTTTGGGTACCCTGTCACATTATACTTCACATGACCTGGTCCCCCTAAGATGCACTAGGAGATAGCAGAAAGAAAGGTGCTCAAGGGCATTGATTCGGTGTTAGTGAGGTTCCCAGATTCAGAGCTGTACAGAAGGGTTGCCATGCAGATTTAATAATAGTACAGAGCTGCTGAGGTCCAGGACTCCAGGCTTTGGTTCTCAGAGACCTTGGAGTGTGCTCTGCACGTCTTCTGGGGAAAATGCCATCTGTGTACTGTAACTGTGTTGGTAAGCAGCAGTTGTGGGTTTACAAATAACTAAAGGGCACCATGTTTAGCCAGCTGTCTATAGGAAAGCTCAAGGCTACTGGGATCGAATGCTTTTGTTAAGTACAGAGTTGAGTTATTGTGTCACTATATATGTCTCACAGTCTGCACTGTTCAGCATGTTAGTAAAGCACAATTCAGGTATGTAGAATAGGGATTCTCGCACTTCCCTTGTCCTTTTTGTGGAGCACAGTGACATATGCATCTTTCCACTGTTTCTGAAAACAGGCGTTTGTGAGTAAGAGCTTTACTCAATGGCTGTGCCTTCGATGGCTTGGATGTTCCCAAAATTTTCTGCTGTGCTTTAGGCGGATATTGGCCAAACTTTAGAGAACCGTGGGATTGACTACAATGTGGGTGTCATGTGAGGTTTGGAAGTGAGTCAAGTATGGAAGAGTTAATAGCATTTGTATGACTGACGAGGACACAGCCAACCCTCAAGGACTCTGGCGATCCTTATGTAGATTTTACCTATGAACTGTTCTGACGGGAAGCTTTGCTGTTCGGGCGGCACACAGGTTTGATGGCTACAGAGAATGTGTGGAAGCTCTGAATTTCTTTTGCCTTTTTTAAGCCTCAAAACACCCACCATATTTGCAGAGTCTCTTATATCTCTGCTGTGATGCTAGAGAAGTGAGTTGTAAGTGTGCTGGAGCCTAGGCGTGTGCAGCAGGCTGGCTGCAGGGACGTAACACCTGCAGCTGAGGATTAACATACAGAGTGAATAGAGTGTATAAAGTTCTCCTCTTTCTCTTCTCTTTCTGTTACAGCCCTCATTCCTCATTATGTGACAGGAAAATGAGGAGAACGAGGTACACAAGAAATGGGGTGAAACACAGCAATTGAGGAATGCTGACAGGGAGTAAGACTGACAGAGGAATGAGGGCTGTACCAGAAAGAGAGGAGAAAGAGGAGAACCCAGTCCTAAGAGCTGAGGCTTTGTAGTTGGATTGTTCTCAGTCTTGTGTTTTAATAGACCCGAACAGTGATTTATGAACTATAAGGACGCAGCACAGTCTCATTTATCTCTCACTGTGTCAGTGAGGATACAAACACTCAGCTGTCTCACTGTCTCAGTGAGGATACAAACACTCAGATGTCACTGTCTTAGTGAAGACACAAACACTCAGCTGTCTCACTGTCTCAGTGAGAACACAAACACTAAGCTGTCTCACTGTCTCAGTGAGGACACAAACATTCAGCTGTCTCACTGTCTCAGTGAGGATACAAACACTCAGCTGTCTCACTGTCTCAGTGAGGTCAAACACTCAGATGTCAATGTCTTAGTGAAGACACAAACACTCAGCTGTCTCACTGTCTCAGTGAGGACAAAAACATTCAGCTGTCACTGTCTTAGTGAGGACAAACACTCAGCTGTCTCACTGTCTTAGTGAGGGCATAAATATTCTGTCTCTTTGTCAGTCCCTGATATCGCTGTGCCTCATTAAAAAGATCATTGGTCATAAACACTTTCCCGATGTTCAGATGTCCGGCATGTTGCTCTGAGCCCAAACTGTGATGCATTTAAACAGACTTCACAGCTCAGTGGACCTGTGCTGCACTCAGATCCTCTATCCTGGGATCAGCGAGTCCATGCCAGCCTGTTCAGTGTGATTCAGTGCTGACTCACTCCACTGCCACCCACGGGCTGCACATCAACACACTTCTACACACATCTAGAGAAACAAAAAGTCACCTAGAGCAGGCAGTACGCCCACTCAGCACTGCGGTTGTGTGTGTGTGTGTGTGTGTGTGTGTGTGTGTCATTATTACATTGTTGGGACCAGATTTCTCCACAATGTGATAAAAACCTGTAACTTCTTACCTTGTGGGGACATTTTTATGGCCCCCACACGGACAACCTCAACTTCGTAAAAATCTGCAATCAAAAAACTAAAAATGCCAAAAGCCTTTTAATATGTTTGATTAATTATGGTTAGGATTAAGGCTGGGTAGGAGTTGTCATAGTTGGGATTTTAGGGTTATGCCCATGGAAATTAATGGAGAGTCCCCATAAATATATGAATACATGGACCGTGTGTGTGTGTGTGTGTGTGTGTGCTATTTGTCTGGGGGTTATGTATATATTACATTATGTGATAAAAACCAGTTATTTTGATGTTGTGGGGAACATTTTTGGTCCCCTTTTTAAAAACTACAAATGTCAAAAGACATATTTTGTTTGGTTTCTTATCGTTAGGGCTGGGTAGGAGTTAATTTTGTCATTGTTGAGATTAGGTTTTTTCTCATAGAATGAATGTCCAGTCCCCACAAATATATGAATAGAAACGCGTGGGGGTATGTGTGTGTGTGTTTAGTATACTGGTGCTCACGTGTGTCTTTGGGGTTTATGTGTGTCTACAGTGTAGATGACTTATTGTGTGCGTGTCAGTCGGATTCTCCTGCTAGTGTGGCTAAAACAGATGAAGATCCAGAACCAGCTGTCTGCTAAATGGATAAAGATTTATCCATTTGAAATGTCCCGTGAACATCTGACCCCAGCCATACACAGACAGTGCACACTTTGCTTTTGGCTCTTCAAAATGCCAATAACTAAGCAGTAACATTCCAGTCACTGTTCTCATATTGTTTCTCAACACGATTCAAACATGTGCCGACACAGTACAGCCACCACACTGCAGCGGCAGCAGTGCTTACCGCGACTTTCAACTCTGTGTGACACATCCATGGGGCACAGTCATCCTTCAGCACAAACACGGGCACAGTGCAACAGTCAAACAGCATGGCCCTGTCAGGTCTGTTGCCCTGTGCTCCTCGCAGTCACAGGAGGAGGAATTATACTGTGCTGGTCTGGAGCAGGGAAGGCAGGGTGTCCATTAACGCCATCGTGATGTGGGGCTTCCTCTGATGATGTCACTCGAGGGCTCAGGGGCCAGCAGTAGGCCTTGTTGTCAAATTACACACGTGTGTGGCTGACTGCATCTGTCCATGCGCACTGGTTTTAAAGTTTTTGTGGAAACAATTTTCAGGAAAACGTATTAGCTTAAGAATCAATGGGAAATCCCCACGCTGACAGAGATGCCGGCATCTCAATCCGCTCCCTGCAAGGCTCATTGTCTCCAATTCACTTTTGTTCACTTACAACCACTTTCTGGGCTTTTTTAATTCCTTACAAAGGGAACAATGGTGATCTCTGCGAATCAGCAGGCCCCCTGCTGTGGTAGGGGGGTAAGCAGTGCTTGAAAAATCCCCTACAACAAGTTTGTTAGAAAACATGGCGCGTTAAGTTACAATCTGCACTGAGCAAAATAAACACTGAACCGTCCTTCATGACTGCCCGCAGCCTTTAAGCGATGTTCACATGGGCAGAGATAGAGGTGAATGCCAGAGAGACAGAGACAGCATTTAAACTGACTAACACACTGAGGTGGTCATGTTGGCTGTAGGTTTCACAGCATATAGCTTAGAGCAGGGGTCACCAACCTTTTTCAAACTGAGAGCTACTTCACGGGTACTGAATTTCATGTATAATAAACATGTTTTAAATGCCTTTTTTTGGTTTTGTCATTTTCAAATCTATATAAATGCAAATGTGATTAAAGAAGAATAGCAACAGGATAAAATTTAATTTTAGACGCTGCTCACTGGTGAGTTGTGCTATTTTTAGAACAGGTCTGCGGGTGACTCATGTGGTCCTCGGGGGCATCCTGGTGCCTGCGGGCACCATGTTGGTGACCCCTGGCTTAGAGCAATGTGTGAAATGTGTGATTTTCCTTACATTTCAAAGCATAGAAACGCATAACTACCACATCACCGACTGGCCACCTACTAACCTATGCTGGCTGGAACTTGCAGTCCTAGCTGAGTGACAAGGAGGCTGAGCTCCCCCCTCTCCTCCGCGTAAACCAGCAGGGCACTGGGTGCAGGGTGACGCTTCCCAGCTAGGCTGGGTAAGACGTCAGCTGTTCCACAAAAGGCCCCTTTAGGAAATGAGGCTAAGTGGTCCCAAAATGTGGCCCAGATCTGGCCCTAATCCCAGATGGTTTGGACTTGAGCGAGCACATGGCTCTGGCGTGGCCTGCACACAGAACCCACCCCACCGAGCCTTTCTGGGGAGCCGCTGTACAGCTGGCGCTCACCCCCACACTCTGAATCACACTCGACTCAAGCGAAGGGGGGAATCGCTCTGACTGCAGCAGAAGCAGCTTGCTGGCATTAGACAGGTGGCTTAAACTCCACAGTTAGTGCCTGGAAGAAGCATATCTTCAGGGGTAACAGCAAAGCTCTGCATGCCCCTCACTGTCTCGCTATTCCTCCCCATCCTTACCCAGCACCTTTCTCTCTCACCCTCTGCCTGCCTCTCCTGCACATCTCGATTTCTGCTGGGGTAGTTTGTTCATCTTCAGTAAACAACATGTTCTGGAAACTATACTTTATTTTGGGGACTTAGTGACTCCTCTGCTCTGCTTCTTATATGTTATGGGAGCGCAGACAGAGTCAGAGTCAGGCCTGGCCACGTTAAACATCCCAGCATTAGGAGAATCAGAGTGAGACACTGCAGCAGCTCCCCTTAGCCTGCAGAAAGCTCTCTAACCATGGAAGACATAGACATGGCCATTAAGTGCCAGGATCTGAGCGCCAGGTGACATAAATTGGAGGGAAAAAGCAGGTCGTCACTAGTGTGAGGCACTCACTGCCAACCCATAACAATATAACCCCCCCTGTACATCAGAACAACCTGATCACCACATCCAACAAGTGCCCCCCCCCCCCCCCCAGCGTAACACGTTACGTTGTCATATTCGGGGTAATATATAGGCCTAGGCTGCTTTTGTGGGTTAATCTGTCGCCATGTATTATCTTTCACGCCCCTGAACTGTAGTATAACAGCTGAATCAGTATCTGAAATGCTTTCTGAGGTAGGTATGGTGATTCAGCGCCCAGGGTCTGGCTGTATAGGTGGTATGCCCGCGGGATCACACTTAAACCAGGACGGTCACTTGGTTCATGTGCCATACCCTGATCGACAGCGGGTCAGCATACCATGGTTATCCCTGTGTCTCTTTATTATTTCACCGTATTCGCACGTTATTAGGTGACACTGTGATTATTTATGTACAGCAAGCAGGCAAAAACTTGTTAAATGAACGCGAAGTAGTCACAGATGCTTTTATACTTTGAACGATGCATTATTTGATTCAATGCGTAATAAGACATAAACACAACTCGTAACCACCAATTCATGAAGCGCAGCTCATGAATACACACGGACACTGGGACTGTCGGCACACCCCCTACCTTTCATCCAGTCCACCACCTGGCCCGGAGTCCACTTGCTCACCGGCTCCATCACCAGCGCCATGGGCAAACTTCGCGCACTTACAGAGTAGGCTGTTCTTTGTGTGGATCACCCCGGATCAGCCTGTCAGTCCGTTTGCAGATGGCACGATCGGCATCCTCCTCAATGCCGGCGGCATCGCTCACATCTCAGTACTACCCTGCGCATCCGTTCCTGAGCCCAGGTAGACCAGCCACCTATCTCCGGCTTTTTTACGTTTCCTCTTTTTAAATCCGCCTCCGCAGCAGTATAAAGTGGGCCGGATTTATATATTTGTGTCTGGAAACGTTTCGCATTCTCCGTGCAGTAGGGCTCGTTTCGGGCAGCCTGGCTTTCCTCGAACTGCCTCCGAACCGCTTGTCCGCGCAAACGTATTTCTCTCTCTCTCTCTCTCTCTCTCTCTCTCTCTCTCTCTCAGATTCATTTCATCCTACCTCCTCTCTCTCTCTCTCGCTCCTTCCCTTGCGCTGATAAATTCACCCCCCCCCTCCTCTCTGTCTCTCTCCAAGTTCTCCCTCCATTATTAGCGCGACAGGCATAATGGTATTGTCAGAAATGCGGATATAATAAAAGAACAGTGAATGGTACACTGTGAGCGACATATTGAAACATGATCTCCATAAATAAGCGAACTGAAACCGGGCATCATTACAGTAGGAGCGGCAGCAGGAACCCCAGTGTCGCACTGTACCCCTGTGCGGACTGTACACCCCTGCGGGCTGCCTCAGATGGAAACTGATTTTTATACCCATTCTGTATCTCCGACAGGAGGGTTTATTCACGTCAGGCTGGCGTTAAAATGCCGAAGGCTCGAGGCAGCTATTGGCTTTCACTGTGTTATACATCAAGCCTGGTGTGGAAAAAAAACTTAAAGACTAGCTGGGCTAATGTCACATAATGTTTTTCGAGGGAATTTTTCAGGGGCTACAGTGACTCTCCAAAGACTGTACCAGGAATGGAAAACATCTGAATATTAAAGTAGAACATATGCAATTAACCATAGGAAACTGCAAGGCACCCTTAAGCTGTTTTTTGTGTTTTGATGTGGGTACGTGAGTCTCAAGATAAGAATGAAGGTCAGTTATTTAAACATTAACGTGATTAAAAATTATGCTGCGTCCTGATTTATAGACGTCCAGAAAGATATCCCCCTACTGGCCGTACTTGAGTACTACAAGCTACATTCCAGCTTTTCGCACAAGCTCTGATCTCTTCCTCCGAGACTGGACACTGTAACCCTGACCACAGGAACACAGAGCCGCTTCCCCGTATGAAGCCAGAAGGCAGCGCTACTGAAAAAGGCACAGCTTGATGTGAGGCATATACGTCACATCACCAGAATCATAGCGTCAAACTCCATGCCTCCTAAAGGGAGGGGCGTCCTCGTGTACCACTTTAAGATGCGTCTTGGGTATTTATCGTCGATCCCTATCAGGCATTTCCATGCCAACCAGAGAAGCAGAGTTAATGGGGAGCTGCCAGGCATGCTGGGATTGCGCTGGGAACTTGAGGTGGAGCAGCAGCATCGCAGTGTCAGGCTGTTGGACTGTTTCATTCATCCAGGGCACTGGAGAGGCACAGAGTGCAGTTCCTTTCATGGCACTGCTGTTACCGTAGTAACTCACTGTTTGGATACTGATGATGACTGTATTAGGTGTGATAATTATGTTGCAGTTGAAGTCACGGAGGTATTATTGGTATGGATGAGGTGTGTGTTTGTTTTAAGCCCGAGGGAGCAGGGTACAGCTCCTCGGGTGCTACTTGGGACACCACAAACGAATGACATGCCATTGAAGCCACAAGGGATGCTGCCAGCTTGAGTGTGCTGGCATGCAATGAGGGGCAGATGCCACCCTCGCTCACCGCCTGCTTCTAACCAGTCGGATTCATGACAACACAGACGTTTCAGCTTCAGCTCTGCCATCTTCTCCGTGCTTCGCCGTGGACGAGTGCTGGGCTGAGCGACACCTTCAGCATGGACCTGCTGCCCTTGCCTGGGAACATATATGGATTTGTGATGATCAGGTACAGTAAAGCCAGCCTTCAGAGCTGGGGCAGGAACGGCGTGACTGTCTTCAAGACAGGGGCTGCGGAATGCTCCCCGGTGATGAGAGCCGGGGCCTGTGAGCAAGACTGGCGGGTAACGGGATGAATATGCTGACAGCAGGATGACATGATGGAGGCATCTTAAGCCTGCCTAAACAAAAGGAGCAGCGGGAGACATTTCCACAAGCCAAGCAGTGCTCAACCCACCAGTGACACCAGGTTGCACATCAAGCCTCAGGATGCAAGCCCACCGGCGGTTGCTATAGTAACAGGTGTGGTGACAGCTGCCAATAATGGCAGCATACTGTTTTGTGAAGAAATGGAAGGCTGCCAGAATTGACTGAAAACGTGCTTTTGCATGGTTGTGGACAGTAAGTGTTGTCACGGATTGGAAGGAGAGCCCTGGGTACTCAGTACTACAGCAAGAGTAAAAGAGTATCTAGAAAAAAAACAACTTGAGTAGCAAGCTACTTTACGAAATCTGAATTTGTTGTTAACAAACTTTACAGTTACAGGACTGCCCAACCAACAGCACATCCAATCAAAGAACAAAATTTGAAATTAAAATATGCTCTCCCAATAAACCAACAAAACATAAAATTTGCTAAAAAAAAACCTTATACCCTTTTATGACAATCAAAAACAATGTGTGATGGGCAGCAGCCTCATACACAGGAAAACAACAGTGTGGATGTTCATTGGGAAGGTTTAATTGGACAACAGCCTGTGCAGATACTGTATGAACTGTAGTGCGAATGTGGAAGACAAGGCTAACAGCAGGGAGACTGTTGTGACTCCTCAGGGAAAACTGATGCTAGCATTTTCTAACATTACAATGTCAAAATTTGAAGTGGTTCTTTGTGTAAATAAATGTGGGTATTAATAGTAATTTTTCTCTAAATACTAATTTATCTTTGGTCCAATGTCTTAAAAAACATCTTTAAAAAAATTAAGATGTTGCCTATAGTTAGGAATACTCCATGCTATTTTTATTCTTTAAACAAATACTATTATTGTTAAGAATTTCCTGCTTTAGGTTTCAACATACAGTATGTAATAAATAAATGGCCTACATGGTAAAAAAAATTACACATATCTTTCCATCCATTTTCTGCCGCTTATCCAGGGTCAGGTCACGGGAGCAGTAGTCTGAGCAGGGATCCCCAGACCTCCCTCTCACCAGCAACCTCCTCCAACTCCTCCGGGAGAATACCAAGGTATTTCCAGGCCAGCCGAGGGATGTAATCTGTCCCGGTGCCTCCTCCTGGTTGGACATGGCCAAAATACCTCCCCAGGGAGGATTCAGAAGGCACCCTAGTCAGATACCCGAACCCCCTCAGCTAGCTCCTTTTGATGCAGAGGAGCAGCGGCTCTACTCAGTGCTCTTCCCAAATGTCTGAATTCCTTACCCTGTGTTTAAGACTGAGCCCAGAAACCCTGCGGAGGAAACTCATTTCGACCGCTTGTATCCGTGATCTCATTCTTTCAGTCACTACCCAGAGCTTAGCATAGACCTTACGAGGGAGGCTGAGGAATGTGATCCCCCTAAAGTTGGGACACATCCTCCAGTCCCCTTTTGGGACCACCACCCCAGCCTCCCAATCAAAAGGCTATGCAATGTTGAAGAGGTGTGTCAGTCAAGACAGCCCAACAACATCAAGGGCTTTCAAGTACTCAGGGTGAATCTCATCCATCCCTAAAGTCTTACCACCAAAGAGTTTTTTTGACTACTTTTGTGACCTAGAGATGGACAAGTCCCACTCTGGGTCTTCCAGCTCCACTTCCTCCAACGAAGGAGGAACCTTTTTGAGGTTGTCCAAAAGTCCTTATCCATATCCTTACCAAACTCCTCCAACACCCAAGTTTTTGCATAAGCAACCTCCTAAGTCGCTTTCCACTTGGCCTGCTGGTACCTGTTGGTAGTTGCTTCCGAAGTCCCACAAGCTAACCCAGCTCAGAAGGCTTTCTTCTACAGCCCGACAACTCTCTTTACCGCTGGTGTCCGCCACCAGGTTCGGGGATTGCCACCACAACAAGCACCAAAAACCTTAAGGCCACAGCTTCGCACCACCGCCAAAGCAATGGAGGCTTGGAACATGGCTCACTCAGGCTCAATATCCCCCGACTCCCTCAGGATGCAAGAGATCAGAGGTGCGAGTTAAAGATCTTCCGGACAGGGGTCTCTGCCAGATGTTCCCAACACACCTTACTATCCGCGTTTGGGTCTACCAGGTTTATCCAACTCACCACTAGGAGGTGATCAGCTGACAGCTCAGCTTCTCTCTTCGCCCAAGTATGAAAAACACACGGATGCAGATCCAATGATACGATTACAAAATCAATCATCGAACTGCAGCCCAGGGTGTTTTCGTGCCAAGTGCGCTTATGAACACCCTTATGTTTAAACATGGTAATCGTTATGGACAAACTGTGGTTAGCTCATAAGTCAAATAACTGATCAATGCTCAGGTTCGGATCGGGCAGGATATTACTCCCAATCACACCCTTCTAGTTTTCACTGTTATTACCCATCTTTAAATAATTTTTTTATTTAGCTAACTGATAATAATGACTGTATTTTGTGCAGCATCATCTGAATTTGTGAGTCAGACTAACATCACTGCATACTCTCGCCACATGAGGCCGGGCATTGTCGTGCACCAGGAGGAATCCAGGACCCACTGCACCAGCGTAGGGTCTGACAGTGGGTCCAAGGATTTCATCCCGATACCTAATGGCAGTCAAGGTGCCGTTGTCTAGCCTGTAGAGGTCTGTGCGTCCCTCCATGGATATGCCTCCCCAGACCATCACTGACCCACCACCAAACCGGTCATGCTGAACAATGTTACAGGCAGCATAATGTTCTCCGCAGCTTCTCCAGACCCTTTCACGTCTGTCACATGTGTCACACTGACTCATCCTGTTCCTCCTTGCACAAAGGAGCAGATACCAATCCTGCTGATGGGTTAAGGACCTTCTATGGCCCTGTCCATCTCTCCTAGAGTAACTGCCTGTCTCATGGAATCTCCTCCGTGCCCTTGAGACTGTGCTGGGAGACACAGCAAAACTTCTGGCAATGACACATCAATATGTGCCATCCTGGAGGAGTCGGACTGCCTGTGCAACCTCTGTAGGGTCCAGGTATCGCTTCATGCTATCAGTAGTGACACTGACTATAGCCAAATGCGAAACTAGTGAAAAAACAGTCAGAAAAGATTAGGACGGAAAAATGTCAGTGGCCCCCACCTGTTAAACCATTCCTGTTTTGGGGGTCGTGTCATTGTTGCCCCTCTTGTGCACCTGTTGTTAATTTCATTAACACCAAAGCAGCTGAAACT